AAGAGGTTTGTCTTGTATCATGTATCTGCCATAGGATGTACTGTACATAGGACCAGAGGGTAAAACAGAGAGTCAGGATGAATTGTCCTTTACATAATGGTCACAAATATAACTCCAGGCCTTGGTATTTAGACCTGGCAGAACAAAAAGGATACATTGGTAAACTTAAATATTACAGGTAATAACACACAGTGTACCAACTGGAAGGGCAACGCATAGAGAAATGGGTGGAGATGATGGTCTGGTTCCTGAAAGGAGGGTCTGGTGGACAATGCACAGAGACATGGGTAAAGGTAGTGGTCTGGTTCCTGAGAGGAGGGTCTAGTGGACAATGCATAGAGACATGGGTAAAGGTAGTGATCTGGTTCCTGAGAGTAGGGTCTGATGTACAATGCATAGAGACATGGGTAATGGTAGTGGACTGGTTCCTGAAAGGAGGGTCTGGTGGACAATGCACTGAGACATGGCTAAAGGTAGTGGTCTGGTGTCTGAGAGGAGGGCCTGGTGGACAATGCACAGAGACATGGGTAGTGGTAGTGGCCTGGTTCCTGAGAGGAGAGCCTAATGGAAAATGTACAGATACATAGGTGGAGGTGACATTCTGGCTCCTTCGAGAAGGGACCTGATGAACAATGTACAAAGACACGGGCAGGGGTAGCACTTTGGCTTCTAAGGGGACTAATATGACAGAATGCATACACAGACATGACTAGAGGAAGATTCTTGCTTTTGAGAGGACAATATACAGTGACATGGGTGGAGGGGCCTGACGGACAATGTACAGAGACATGGGTAGAGGCAGTGCTCTGGTTCCTAAGACTAGGGCAATGAACGGAAGCATGGGTGGAGGCAGTAGTCTGGTACCTGAGAGGAGGGCCTGATGGACAACGAACAGAAACATGGTTGAAAGTGACATCCTGGCTTCTCAGAGGAGGGACCTGGTGAACAATGTACAAAGACATGGGTGAGTGCAGCAGTCTGGCTTCTAAGGTGAGGAACACGGAACACATACCTGACTAGAGGAAGTTGTCCTGCTATAGAGAGGAGGAGCCTAATAGACAATGTTCTGAGACATGATGAGGTGGCATTTAAAGGAGAACTATGGGGTTAAGGCTTTTCCCCATAGTTCTCCTTAGGGTAACGGGAGGACACAAACTAGCGTCCTCCCGTCACCCTAAGCTCAGTATACCGCAAGCTACAGCCAGCGGTATACTGAGACGCCGCAGCTGAAGCGGATCCCGACAATTATGCCGGGATCCGCCCAGCTGCGTGAGTGACAGCTGGGCGAACAGATACCGGCGTTCGCTCACCTCTCGATCCTGTCACGGCTCTCTGCCGTGACAGGGGAGGGGCTGGATACCCCCCTCCTCGCTCCGATCCGCCAGCGCTGTCTGGCGGATCAGATGGGGGAGGGGGCGGGTACAGCTGGCTCTGCCTCTAGATAGGCAGAGCCAGCTGTCAGTCACACAGCTGGGCGGATCCAGACATAATTGTCGGGATCCGCTTCAGCTGCGGCGTCTCAGTATACCACGAGCTGTAGCTTGTAGTATACTGTGGCGTCTCAGTATACCGCGAACTGCAGCTCGCGATATACTGAGCTTACAGTGACGGGAGGATGCTAGTTTGTGTCCTCCCGTTACCCTAAGGAGAACTATGGGGAAAAGCCTTAACCCCATAGTTCTCCTTTAAAGAAAAGCAAAACCAAAGTAAAAGAAAAAACCAGAACCCAACTCTTATAGGGGAAGGGGGACACAGCCACTAACAGTAAAATACCCCCCAAAAAAACTAACCACGTAAGGATGATCACTAAGTATGGCTCTGGATGGGAGAGACTTAGAAGAATCCTAACGAAACACTGGCACATCTTTGATTTATGCCCCACACTATCTGAGATTGTTGGTCCTAGACCTCTCCTTACAGCCCGCCGATCACAGAATTTGAGGGATGTTCTTGTCCATTCAGAATATAAACCCAATTCCCAGAGAATTACCTTCCTGAATGGTAATAGACCGGTGGGCATGTTCCCGTGTGGTAAATGCCCCATGTGCCTGCCGGTAGATAAAACCTGAGTCTTTTCAAATTCTGAACGTAACAAAGTAGTTAATATTGTTCAATTTGTCAACTGTGGCTCTAGCAGGATCATTTACCAACTTGAATGTCCCTGTCACAAATTCTATGTAGGCAAGACTAAACTCCAAATGCGGATTCGCATCAGTGAACACATCAGGGAACATCAAGAAAAAAAACAGTGAAAGTCCACTGGCTACACATTTTACAGAATTTCATAATGGATCATCAGAAGGTCTAAAGGTTAAAGCTATATATGCCCTGAACCTTTCCCCTCGTCAAGGTGACTTTGATAGGATCCTGTTGCAAAAAGAGAAAATGTGGATCTATAGAGTGGGCCCTATGATTCCACAAGGTCTTAATAATGAACTGAATTTAGGAGTATTCCTTTGAAAATGTGTCCTCAATCTATGATCTTATTTTCGTCAATAGTTCCCCCGTTTTTCAAATGTGCAGAGAAAAATAGCGATGCAAATCATGTGAGAACTCTCCCTCTTCTCCCCCTTTTTTTTTAAATGAAAGAATGTCCGGGCTTCATTGACGCCAAGCTAATCTCAACCCATTAACAACCTGAAGGGCTGATACGCTTCAGGTGCGAGATGACCATATATGGGTTACCCACATATCTCCCCCTCACTTCCTTACCTCACATATCTCCCCCTCACGTCCTGACAAAGCCCAGTAGTGGGAGGGGCGAAACGCGTAGACGCGGGTTTGACGCTGTGTGAGCGTAAGGCTGGATGACCACGATACTTTCGATGCTTGAGAAAATATCGCAATGATATCGTAAATGAACAACGGATTACCCATACTTGGATACACCGCTAAAGACCTAACCTGACCAGGAGTGACTGCAACAAAAAAAGTGATTTCCTAACAAGTGAATAAGATGTGATCACATCCACAAAGGAATCCAACGCCACTTCGGATACAAAACAACTCATGTGAGTAATGACTTCCTCTTAAAAATCACTGGAATCCTGGATGCACCTGTCACTAAATATAACCTCAGTATCTGGTTCATTATCACTGAATGACACAACGATTTAAAGTATAAGAAATACCTCTTACTATCTGAATTTTGAACAGCAGAGACTATTTCCAAATCAACAAGCCCCAAGTGTGTTTCCACACAAGTGATACAAGTTAACTACAAAGGATACACTTGCCGATCTAATTACAATCATTCTGCCTAACCAGACCATATACCAAAGAACTATCCTACCCTGTTTCCCCAAAAATAAGTCCTGCCCCGGAAATAAGACCTAGTACTATTTTTGGGAATTGCTAAAATATAAGAGATACCCCGAAAATAAGACCTAGTTGTGACCATTCCCATGGTCGGTGGTGGCATAAGGGGGAACTTGAAGAGCCGCGGGAGAGGCGGGAAAGAATCAGCGGTACCAACGAAGCCAGCGCTAGAGGAAGTGAGGCGGCAGCGGAGGGAGCAGAGCCGCATAAGCCGATGCCTCCTCTATAGCGCAGGCTCCTGTCACAGGCGAAGTGATACCAAATGCACTCCGCCTGTGAGGAATCCATAGTGAAAGTGCGCTTCGCTCATTCTGGCCAACGATTGGTTAGCAAATTGTTCTTGGGAAGGTAAGGCGCCCGATTGCCCTGATCACCATATTTTTGTACATGAATAAGTGTGGATTGTTGTACATTAAAAAAAAAATAAGACCTTCCCCCGAAAATAAGACCTAGAGTGTTTTTTTGAGCCAAAAAAAATAGAAGACAGTGTCTTATTTTCGGGGAAACACGGTAATTGGTCTTTGATACTGAGAAACGAAAAAAAACACAGTGAGTGGAGTCCGCAGACACAAATCAACTTAAATTATAATAGCCACAGTATACTCATCACAAGTGTTTATCAATCATTCGATTCAACACAACTAACTGGCTGCATTGTCTGCTGCTCATTTTGTTGCGCTATACTCATTAATCTGAGTTAGTTTATGATTTCAATTGTGCAGTTATACTGGGTATCCGTTACATCCCCGCATATGAATTATAATTAATTTTATGTGGCTGATCCATGCTGTCTATGTATGTCTTGAAGTCTGCAGACAATGTGTGTATTTTAATCTACTGGTAAGTAATGGACGGTGGTCTCTTTACTAAATATTTCGATCATTTTGATATTTTTGAACAATGAAACGCATTTCATATATACCTTGTCTGTCCCGTCCCATTAAGTGACCTCTTGGTGTGGCTAACCCTTTTGGCCAACCCATTTCTTTTCTTCAGGCATGGTGGCCCAACGAAGTACTGATGGGGTGGTCATAATAATCTGGCCACTCAGTGTATTTCTACTACACTCCACGATTATACCCCACTTATCCTTACTATCTGCAGTAAATGAAAAAAATGCAATTCCTGCTGCAGGTTATCTATCGGTGGGATTTTCAGGGATCTTGTGTGGAAAAGGACATTGCCTAGAATTAGACTGGAGGTACTCCAATACCCCAAAGCCTCAGGTTTTCTTCTAGCTCCAAACCCATAGCTCTATTTCATTGCTGCACAACTCAAACATATAGCTGTCTGGGAGCAACTCTACACAAAGTCATCCAGGGTGCTTCCACTCCTGTTTCAGGGAACAAATCTTTTGCATGCCTAAAGTGTATTTCCACTTTTGCAGCCAAAATTGATAAAGCTCACCCCCGGGATGGACTACAATGTTACGTTTCGTTTACCAATTTGTATTAACATTGTAGTCCATTGGGGGAGTGAGCTTGGAGCGGTGACTACTTTACAACACACACATAGGGACCATGGGGAACAAAAGTAGCCCCCCTCCAGAAGGAAGGACAGGGTCCGCACCGATTCAGAGATGCTCGCTGGATGTTGGCCATAGAATGGGTCTTTGCTACTCCTCCCACTGTGAAGGAATGGTTAAGAGAACCTGATAGATGCATATAAATCAAGACACTTACTTCCTTTTGAAATGTCCTGCACAAATTTCCCCAAATCTGTTTCTGTTGGGTGGACGTGCTGGGTCATGGTGCTGCTTAATATGCAAGACTTGGCCTTATTATTTAGTACCCTTGTCGTAATGAGTGAAATCACCAGGCCCACACTCACAAGTGTAGTGTGGGGGCTGCAGCCCGCACCCGGTTGACACCATTGGAGGGGAGACACCAAAATGACTGACAGTCATTTTGGTATCACCCCCTGTAAAAAAGACGGGCACTCGGTCATAGACTGAGAGCCCGACAGTGTCAGGAGAGAGGAGGAGACCCAGCGGCATACCTCATCCTGCCGGGTGAACGTCACCTCCTTTCCTCCTTTCTCTGCCAACGTCCACCACTAATATTAATATAAAGGAAAATCTCGGCATCAGTGTCCGTGACATGATTTCATCTATTGTCAGTTTTAAACAACAAACACATACAAGGAAGATTTAAAAAAAAAAAAAACCCTTGCTTTAAAGAGAGCGAATGTGGAGGGCTGTTCACCATGCAGTGGATTCAATACCCAACCAATGGCTGAGGGATGCTGATGTGTTTTGTGCTTAGGCACAGCTGCAGCCCTGTATGTGAAATCCTTTGAGACATTTTAAGATGATAGCACTGGTGGGCATGAGTCAGCACTTGGCATCCGGTGGGTGAATATAGAATGCAGAACACCATTGCACCTGCATACGTTTCTCCAAAATCATTAGTTTAGTGTAAGAAAAACATTTCATGATGAATTTACTTACTTTTTCACATCTTGGTTCCTTAGGCTGTAAAAATAGGCATTCAGGATGAGAGCCTGACCATGACCATAATGTTATCATTCCTGAATGATGTGTAACGTAAGGGGATACACACAGCCAAACTTCATTCAAAAGCCATGACTGGAGAAAGAAAAATGCTAGTGAACTCCAGAAACCCAAAGAAGAACATTAGAAGAAGATCTGTAGGCAACAGCCAAGGAAGGAGAATGAGTGTTCTCCATGAAGAGGAGAAGGAGATGTCCACTGCTGACAGGTTGCCTAAGAAAAAGTACATTCACATATGCAGCCACTGAGAAAGTGTAATAGAACTTAGTAGAAGTTGGCAGACCGTATAAGTGTGTATATACCCAGAACAGTGGAGAAGAGAGCAGCATGGTTGAGGGTCTGAGAAGCACAGAAGAACAAAGCCGGAGGTTATATTAATTTTTCCATCAGAAATGATCTAGGAGTCAGAAAGGTCAGATGAAAGAACAATACCACCAAACAACATCAAGAAACATGGATGTCACCATTACTGCAGAATGATATCAGTGGACACCCAACCTTCCTGTGTTCATATAATGCAACATAACATATCTGCAGCATAGCACATGTAATATCATTAAATGTGATACCCAAAACCTTAGGCAATTACCCAATCTGTGCAAGCTTTAAGAAAATAGTATGCTCATGATCTGGGTTGAGAGCTCTGACAGAACTTAGGAACAGTCCACGCAGGTGTGTATATAACCAGCAGGGTGAGTGGACGAACAGCATTGTGGTAGAGAGGGTCTAGGACCTTAGATGAATGAAGCGGAAGGTTGTATGGACCAGTTTGTTATGGAAAAAATCTGGAATTTGTTTCATTTTTTTATATGCTGTTTCCTCTGTTCTGGAAGAGTTTGTCTACTCAGCTAGCAGCATTTCCTTTGGAAGACCTTTTTACATTTGATGGGGAGGAATGTAGGTGGTGGAGGACTGGAAATGATGGGGAAATGTAAGGGATGGGGGGAGGTAAATGGGGTAGAGTATACGTGATGGGGTAGAGTATACGTGATGGGGTAGAGTATACGTGATGAGGTGGAGTATATGTGATGGGGTAGAGTATACGTGATGAGGTGGAGTATACATAATGGCAAGGGCTGCTCAGAACTGCAAGGACCTCCTTCACCACACCCAGGTATGGAGATGGTTGTCAGGAATCCTCCCATGTATTATCTGTGTCCTCTGTATAAGGATTCCTATGAATACGAGTCTCAGCCTCGCCCTGTGTAGGAATGTACAGAATCGGTCACACTGGTTAATGAGTGTCAGAGACTTTCACTTTCACTTCTCTCTTCTGCTGCCAGCGATGGCGTCTGCTGATCTGAGGAAGGAGCTGGAATGTTCCGTCTGTCTGAGCAACTATACAGATCCTGTAACCCTGAAATGTGGACACAATTTCTGCCGGGACTGTATTGGTCGTGTGCTGGATACACAGGAGGCGTCTGGAGGTTATTCCTGTCCTGAATGCAGAGAGAAGTTCCAGAAGCGGCCTGCACTGCACAGGAACATAACACTGCGTAACATAGTGGAGAATTTCCTGTCTGCTCAGCCAGATCAGGAGGAGTCCGGAGTCTTCTGTACTTATTGTATTCACGCTCCTGTACCTGCTGTGAAGTCCTGTCTGCATTGTGAAGCTTCTCTGTGTGACAACCACCTGAGAGTCCACAGCAAGTCACCAGAACACGTCTTATGTGACCTCACCACTTCCCCGCAGAACAGGAAATGCTCCGTCCATAAGGAACTACTGAAGTATTACTGTACTGAGGACTCTGCCTGTATCTGTGTGTCCTGTTGTCTGATTGGAGGACATAAAGGACATGAGATGGAGTCACTGGATGAGGCCTCTGAGAAGAAGAAGGAGACACTAAGAAATGTTCTCCAGAAACTGTTGACAGAGAAAGAGGAGATGGAGGAAAGAGTCCAGAGTCTGAAGGAACACAAGAGGAAAGTATAAGGAAAAGCGGCCGGTGACACAGTGGGAGTCACTGCCCTGTTCAGAGAGCTCAGGAGACATCTGGAGAACCTGGAGAAGAGAGTCCTGAGTGAGACCTCCGAGGAGGAAAAGCGGATCTCCCTCCGCGTGTCGGAGATGATCCGGAAACTGGAAATAAAGAAGGACGAGCTGTCCAGGAAGATGCGTCACATTGAGGAGCTGTGTAGCATGACGGACCCACTGACTGTCTTACAGGAATCAGACACAGGGGACTTGTGTCATACTGGGGAGGGAGATGATGAGGACAGAGAGAGACATGATAGACTCCTCAATGATGGACGGGGTCTGGATGTGGCTGGAATCTCACACACATTGCACATGTTATCTGATATAATAACAGGGATAAATGTATTCTTCTATATACAGGAAACTGAAGACATATTACTGGATGTGAGCACAGCTAGTAATCTTCTACAGATATCACATGACAGGAAAACTGCATCCTCGTCATCAAATCAGAATCGTCCAAAAACTCAAGAGAGATTTCAGTATTATCCTCAGGTGTTGAGCAGTCAGAGTTTCTCCTCAGGGCGACATTACTGGGAAGTGGATGTCGGGGGGTCAGAGTCCTGGAGAGTCGGGATGTGTTACCCCAGTATGGAGAGGAGAGGAGATCAGTCAGCGATTGGAGATAATAAGAAGTCCTGGAGTTTGGGGAGGTGGGTGGGGTGCGGGGGCGGTATCCATTACTCAGTGATACATGACAGTAAGAAGATCCTATTACCCGGCAAGGACTCCAGTAACAGAGTCAGGATCTACCTGGATTATGAGGCCGGACGGATCTCCTTTTATGATTTGTGTGACCATTTCCGACACCTCCACACCTTCACCACCACCTTCACTGAGCCCCTCCATGCCGGGTTAGGTGTATACAGAACTTGTATAAAGATATCTGGGGGGCATCAGATGTGAGAGATCTGCCCAGAGACTGGTGACATCACAGGGCGGAGAATCTGATTGGTGGAATATTCAGCCAATAGGAGGAAGCAGTGGAAAGGAAATTGCATTACTGATTTATAAATCAGCAGGCTTTGCGGGTGTCATCTTCATCCTCAACTTCTCTTCCCTACCTCGTGGGTCACTGACTAGCAACAAATATGCAGGACATAGGGGAGTGGGCATTAATGTGGCAGATGAGGTTTAATGTCGATAAATGCAAAGTAATGCACTTTGGAATTAAAAATAAACAAATGGGTTATACAATTATGGGTATGCCGCTGGGGAAGTCAGAAATGGAGAAGGATTTGGGGGTCATTGTAGACCACAAACTGAAAGGTAGTTTGCAGTGCCAGGCTGCTGTAAACAAAGCTAGCAGGGTCTTGTCCTGTATTAAAAAGGGGATGTATTGCAGGGACAAGTCTATAATTTTGCCACTTTATAGATCATTGGTTCGACCTCATCTGGAGTACGCGGTCCAGTTCTGGTCACCAGTACTAAGAAAAGATGTCCTTGAGTTGGAAAAAGTCCAGCGAAGGGCAACCAAACTAATTAGGGGTATGGAGGACCAGAGCTACGAGAC